TAATTCCTAGTCAAGTTCGATATCATCATCTAGAATTGAGTCAAAATGCGTTAGAGGTTTGAATTTGATAATTGATTTATATAGCTAAAATTGATTCTTGGGCGGTCAGGAATCTTTTCTGAGTACTATTTTGAATTCTGTCCCAAAAACCCCATTTTTACCCTACTGTATCTGTAGATTTCTTGTGATCTCTTCGGAAGTTAAAGAAGAATTTGGTATAGTTTCAAAAGATGGAGATGGAGATGGAGAAGAAGATTGCAATTTTAATGATTGTGATAAGGAAATACTGGTTGATTTTTCAGTGCTTTCAAATAATGTATCAAGAGTCCTCATTCCCTTTGCATCATGCGCTAACTCTTCCTTTTTTTTATTCCTCCAGAATGTGGTTCTTGAAGTTCCATTGTATACTGCTCTGATACTATCTGTAGCTTTCCCATGCCAACAAAGAACTTCGGTAATAAGCTTCTTTTCCACTTTCTCAAACTCATTCAAATATTCATCATCTATCTGGTTTTCACCCTTTATCCACTCATCAATATTCTTATTATCCATCCATTTTTCACTTTCAACAGTCTCTATCTCAGTTTTTGCTTGATCTTTGGACAGGTAATGACCTTTTTTTTTGGTATTTGCTAACCTGCAGTTGCCTTTTTGTTTTACGTGGCATTTAAAAAAGTGGTTATTGGGTTATTCAAATAAAACATTTTTCATTTACATATGAAAATCTAAAAAATTTTCTCATGATCACTCATTCTCGTGAAAAATTGATTACGATAATTCGGGCCAGCATCAAATTATCATAATTTCAGCTCAAATTATGATGATTTTCAGCCAATAAAATTGCATTCACGTGACAAAATTTGTTTCAAATTCAGACAAACAATATGAAAAACACCGAAGTTTAAATGCTTATAACTTTTTATATAGGCATTTTTTTGAAAATCAGATTGGTAATTTAACAGACTTCACCTTGGAGAATAAGATTACCAGTTTATTTTTTTAAAAATTATATTATTTTTTAATATTAAAAATTTTCCAAGTATTACAATTTTATTGTCTAGTTAAGACTTCCGGCACCATATCACGAAGTAAAAAAAAAGGCATAAAAATCATATAAAATTTTGTCGATCAAATGATCGACATCTATATCAATGTCATTTGCTATGATCGACATGCGACATGTCCGGTGACTGTTATGCAAAATTATAGTGCATTAATGCTACCATGCATAGCATATCTGGTTTGAATTAAACGCGTATTTGTAAAATTAAACAAGTAGCTTATGTTAACAATGTTGACTGAAAAAATAATAAAAAAACTTCGACATCCCGATTATTGGAAGTAACCGTGTGAAGAGTGGGAAATAGCTTCGTGGGAATTTTTTTACCAAAAAAAAATGCCCGATGGAAAAGAGAAGTCACATAATACCCTAACGGAAGAATTAAAAGTGTTGTTCCATAATTTAAAACCGAAAACGAAGGAGGGACGAAAAGTGCTAACGTTAAAACGTCAATTAAAGGTTAGTGGCTTTACACGTTCTTATGATTGTGAAAACATTAACGAGCATAGTAAGTGTAATACGCCCTGTATACTGCTGGTTATAGGGAAGAGCGTCCAGTCACATTAGTTAGTGTGCCGTGGCGGTTATATCTTACTATGAGATTCTTTGATTAAGGTCTGCTGTTTCTGAAGGAGGAATCGGCTACGTACATTCCTTATGTTAAGAATCTTTACTCACAATCTTCCCTTTGTATTTTACAGAAGTCCAAGAAGTGTAAGGAGAAGGAGAATGTGGCTCCTGTTGGTAAATGTCTCATTTTTTTCGTCCTTTTTTTGTCATATTTGCCAATAATACCTCGCATAATTACTAAATATTGTGCTTTTCTTTCCTGCTTCTTATTGTCAAACCCATCCAAAAACCACATTCATGTTTTCATAGATCACACCTGTAAGTGAATTAGTGAACACGTGATGACTTGATTTTTGTTTTGTTTCGTTAAATTGTGTCATAATATCAAATATTTTTAACAGATGAACCGCCAAGAAAGCGTCCCAGACTAGTCAGAGGTATAGTACCTATAATCAGTTTCAAATTCCACTAAATATGTCATTAATCTGATCATTCCTCACTTTCCAGCTCTCAATGGGGAATATGTGAAACAAGTTTTTTATAATTCGCAAGAGATACCGTTTACTGAACAAGTAGAATGTGAGTTTTTTCGAAAATTTGTAAATTAAATACCATCATTTGCTAACATACATTACAAATCGTACAATAAAAGGGTCCAAAAATGTTTTCAATGATTCCAATAATCACCCAATAATAATTGATAATGGACAATATAGTTTAGGCGCATCAGAATTTTCGAAATTTATCACATCGGGTACTTTTGTAGATAAATCGCTCTTTATAATGGAATTTATTATTTATGGAAATCAGGCCAATTTGATTACTCGCCCTCGTCAGTTTGGCAAATCTACAAATCTATCAATGCTTCATACTTTTCTTTCACCGACATTCTCTGAGCAGGAAAGGAAATCCAGACTTGAACTGTTTCAAAGGCTTAAAATTTCTCAATTCGATTGGTTTATTAAATTATACTTTGGAAATTGGCCTGTTATCCATGTTAGTTTCAAGGTGAAAAGGACTGATACAACTCTTCTTTTACATAGAACAACTTGACTAACAAAGACTTATTTTACTAGGATCTTGATAGTAAATCCTGGATTACAATGCTTAACGGCATCAAAGATCGAATATCAGATCTTTATAAGCAACATAGTTATATTCTTGATAGTAAGGAGTTTTTATCAGTTGAAAAGGACGACTTTAGAAAGATTTTGAAGGGAACAAAAAGCAGGTCGCATTTAATTAACTCTCTTAGTAGTCTAGCACGTTATCTTAATACATACTTTCATATAAGCTCCATTGTTCTCATTGATGAATACGACTGGCCAATGGAACATGCAGGAAATTTTTATGAAGAAGCAGACTCCTTCTTTCGACCAATGTACTCAAGCGTGGCAAAGGTAAACTATTTTTCACCGTTGGTTGGGTGCATACTTGAGTGGTTAAATTAATACAATTCTCTATGCAGGACAATCAATATGTACATAAGATCCTGTTTGTTGGGCTCCTTCCGCTAGGCCAAGCAAGCTTCCTTTCTGGGCTCAATAATGTAGTGGAATATCCAATGCATAAATCACCGAATCATGCTCTTTTCTCAGGTACATTTGGATTTACCGAATTGGAAGTTAGTTTTCTGCTAAAAGAAAAAGAATTGACCAATAAACTCGATGATCTGCACTTCCACTATAATGGATATAAAACGAGTACTGGTGTTCACATTTACAACCCACACTCGGTTATATCGTATCTATATAACAACAATATTATTGATGATTATTGGATCAATGGTCCGGCAACCACACTTATAAAATACTTGAAAAAATGTGGACCAGATATTAAAGAACTGCTTGACAATGTTTTATCCTCTTACTCGGCAGATAGTAATATATCCGTTAATGTAGAACTTCAGAAGACTCTCCGATACGACATCCTTGATAAGGAACCAAAGATAAACGCAATATATACCTTGCTGTATTATAGTGGTTACCTGTCTGTGAAAAGTATGAAAGGTAAACTAGCTGAACTAGTTATACCAAATGAAGAGGTAGCAATTCAATGGAGATCGTGAGTTTTTGAGATCATAGGCATAGAATGTGTAAGGACAAATGAAATCTACGAATCGTTATTCGAAAAAAATATCAAAAAGTTTTGTGAACAATTTCCATCGCTTTATATGGATATGGTATCCTGTTACGATATTGCCGATTCTAAAAGAACTAAATTATATGAAAATTGGTACCACTCATTTATCCTAGGAACACTTGCTACGTTTCATGGCATTGAATATCAGGTATTATCTAATCGCGAAACTGGGAACGGACATCCTGATGTTCGCATTATTCCTCTCAACGAAAATAAAGACACTTGCATTATATTTAAATTTAAGCTTGCTAAATCTGATGACTGCAATGAAATGAAAAGAAGTGTTGAGGAAGGGTTAAATCAAATTGTCAATAAGAACTACCGAGCAAATGTTCCAGGTCACGTCAAGGTGATAGTCGAAATTGCTATTGCTTTTCATAAAAAAAGTACTTTTATCTCTGCCCGCCTCTTAAACCGCAAAAACGATGGACTTTCAGCGAATCATATCTGGAAAGAGGTTGCCAAATCAGAGTCTGTTTAGAATGATTTATCAACGTCAAATTTCTTTTCTCAAATGAGGAAAAAAACGTGAGATTTATTTCCTGGCAAAGTGATTGGCAATAAAATTCATATGGTATAAAGGGCCGAGAACTTCGCAATTTCGAGATCTACACAAGTTAGTCTATTTTGCGTCTTGCATGGACATCGCTATACCAAAAGGAATCAGAATTCCCGTATTTATCCCTTATTCCTGAAATTTACTTTATACATGGACTATATACTTTCTTGTCGAAAAGTCACGTGCCGAAATTCCTGATCGCTTAAATTCTAGCCGAATGAATATATATCATGCACAGTAAATATGTCATCCCTATGTGATTTAACTAGATCAATAAATAATTAATCCGGTAGTGATATTCGTTTTGTTCCGGAAACTTCTGGCACAATTCTTTCATGCATATGAAAGGTAATTATACAAAAAAAACGTAAGCTATTAATTATACTAGGATTTTAAATCAATAAAATTTTCCGACAATAGGATTAGGGGTATAACGTTTATTCTACATAACGAACTTATAACGAACTTTCATATTTAGGATGATGCGAATTTTAGGTTGTAGTTAGTTTCGCATAAAGCCGTAATTCATAAGATTTTCTTTTTTAGCACTAGGCTAATCACACATTAATCCGTTTTTGAATAGGAATTAGGGAGACATGTGCGATTTAAACATCTACAGATCCCGTTTCATGATGAACAAATATTCCGAATTTATTATTACAATTGAAATAAGGGTAGCTGGGGTAGGGCAATAAATCTTAGAAATAAATGGTAAATTTTGAGGTATGACATACTCCATTAAGATTAAATCACGGAGTATCAATTTGTCATAAAACAATAATTTGTCGGATCTTCTTTTAAGCACTATTGTTAAATGCGCTTCAAATTCAGGGAGGGGTATTTGACAGGTTATAATTGCTTTAGATGAAAAAAAAAGTAATTATGAAAAAATAAAGTTGCGTAATTTTTTTATGAACTTTATTAAATCTGGTTAAATTTCCATTCCACTGCAATAGTTGTAAAGTATAAAATAAACCTTTTTCCCCACTGCATTTACGCAAGATAACTATTGCTATTAAAAATCAAGTGTTATTATCTAAAAAAATTCCACCAATAAACAAATTCCCAATAAATTTACTACGCATTGCTTATCTAATCATGTCCAGTTTAATATCATTCAACTCTTTGGGAAGCATGCGATTTTTGGCCTTACCCGTTCTTTTTTTGTTCGTTTGTTCATGGGAATCATTTCTATGTGGAAGATTCTCAAACAACAAATCTCTGATGAGATCTCTGCTCATGTCGCAAAAATGACCAATGAGCTTTCTGCATACAATACTAAAATCGCTAATGAAATTACCCCACATGTATCCAAAATTAGCACTTCTTTCACTATAAAGCTCGGCAGAAATAATACCGAGCTTAATAATAAACTCATTGTAGAAATCGAAAAGATGTGTTAGACTGATTAATGAAATGATTAATCGGTGGCTTAGATTTTTTTTTCTAATTGACCGATCACCCGTGATTTGAGAAACCACTCAGCATCATAAAAGTGTCAGGGGAGTGTTATAGAACTGGTAGGGAACTAGGGTCAGACCTGTAATACAATATATGTCATGATGGATTGACAAATCCGTATAAATTTGAATCTGATATTCTAGTAGTATAAGTTGATAAATAATCGCAAATAACTCACTGAAATTGCTACAAATCGATAATTGCTATAATCTACTTATAATCGTAAAATTGATATAAACCGTTAAATATGTCAGAAACTCATATTAACAGAGCAAGGCCTAATAAGTGTATTGACATTATTTTAGATAAGGATTATAATAAAATTATGCCTAAACCGGTTAATAATTGTCCTGGATTTGATATAGAATATCTTAAAACATATGTTAAAAATTACAATAGTTATTATGCTAATTAATTCGAAAAGATTCTTGAGGTGGAAAAATGATATGATAATTTATCTATCATTAGATCTCATGAAACTCCTCAGCAATGGGCTATTCATTAAGAGTTACTTTGCAAACATTGATTACTGAGGAGAAAAAAGAAAGCTTTTATCATGTATTCTGCATTTTTGCATTATTCAGATAAGGTTACCAGTCAAAAGATATTCTATATGACTATTGTAAACCTAGTATTTATAAGAGCAGAATGGCTATTTGTTTCGATTGTTGGAAATTGGTAAAGATCACTAATGTAAAGCCAAAAAAAATATACTTCAGCGGATGGCATATATATAGATATCAGTTTAAACCTGAAGATTTAATAAAGCATTATTGGGATCACTCATGTTTTAAAGATATGACCAAGAATAAGGCATGTTTATTAATACCTCATCATTATGAGAAGCTGTTGAAAATGTATCTAGTGGAACTACAAATCTTCAACCCTTAATTTGCAAAAATAATACAAATAAATTATTTATCTTGTCTCGATATGCAAGACAAAATAACTTACTACCATCTATAACCTATCTTAATCAGCCAAAAAGTAGCACATTAAGATTAAGGAATGGAATAGTAATCACGATTGTTTAACATTTAACTGACTGGTTGAAAAAATATTCTAAGTTCTAAATATAGATTATTTATTAAACCATGTATAATCCAGAAAGTTTTAATATATTTTTTCATAAAATTCGGGAATCATTCAATCGCTTAGTAAAACTGTTTGTCTATCACATTTATGCGAGTAAAATATTAGCTGAAAGTGTTATACATAATCTACCTATTCTGAGTTAGATTCTCTAATCTATAACAAAGTATTTTTCGAGAAGTTTAGAAAGGTCAATGAAACAACCTTTGGGATTCTTGATTTCTAAATACTATAATTATGACTTTGAAAATTTCTATGTAAAAGTTATCTAGCAAGTTTATAGGAATTATAAGAAAAGACCTGAATCTTTGACAAAACAAGTTTGAAAGGTAATGAAAAATGATGGTATTTCTGATAATATGAAGTTTTTAAGGAGAATTCCTACTTGCAAATATTGGGATTTTGGATCAAATGATTTGGAGTTGATATCAGAAAAAGAAGTCTAACTACATTTAAGATTAACAAATATAGCATTCATATTCTCTTTGAAATTATTATATTAGCAAGGTTATATAGTTATTAGAAGTTCAATATGGGATGTTAAATGGACTGACATGTTAAAATAATCACAGAATTCTGAATATTACTATATTAATAAGAAATCTAACTCTAAAAATTTTCTTAAAATTTCAGAATATAAGAAATATAGATGTAAAGAGCTAGACACATGTGACTCTATAGAGAATAATTTAAAGTTTCTAGCTCTTATTCAGCTGTATAATACGATTATTGTAAATTTGTTAGATATGGATAATAATTGTGAATTTGTGTGCTAAATTTTCCAGATCAATTCTTGACTCAGATTCTGAATATTGTCTTAATAAAATAATATATCTGATATTGTCTAGGTGAAGCATCTCACAGCCAATGCATATTAGCATGTACAATATAAATTAGCATATTTTTCAATTCTCGTTAAAGTATATATGATGTAATAGGTGATTCTCTGTAAATCATTTGTAAAACTATGCTTGTATGATGAAATAATTTCACATAAATCATTTCTCAAAATATTTTCTCGCAACATTTAGCGAAATAGCATGACATTTATTAATATGTATATTTATTTTAAAGTTATGGGCTATTTCTATTATATTTCAAGCTAAACATATTTATATAATATTATCAGATCTTAGTATTAAGCGGTTAGGCGAAAAAAGTTTGTATATGCATTGTCCTAACGCTTTATAAATGTAGAGATCTTTAATACATATTCTGCATATTTTTTACTAACGAACACAAACTTTTGACGTAAAATACCTTGTATATTTCTCCTAACTTTTCTCCCAACATGAATGAGAGTTAAAAAGAATATGAATGAAGAAATCATCAGAGATTTAAAAGGGCAAGTGTATTGAATTCAAGTTATTTGTCGCTTATTATTTTTTTAGCGAAATTCTAATACTATATTTTTTCGTCATTATGTCTTCTCCACATTATATGAAAATATTTATAATTTTTTACTTGATTCACTTTCAGATTATATGGGATAAATGCTGGGAAAATAAACCAAATTGATTTTTTTTTTAAAAAAAATTCCTAAGTAAAATAAATGTAGATTTGGTCACCTGATTTAAATCATTTGTTATTTCAAAAAAAAAATTTTTTTCAATTTAATCCTTTTTCCCAACACATCTCATATTATCACATTTTTTATTATTTTTCAATTAATAAAAGATAATATGTGGTATCCTAAAGATAAGTTAAAAGAAATAATTTATCAAGCAATTATAATAGTAAAAAAGAATTACAATCAGATTTCAGAAAAATATCTGAAATTTGTTGATATTCTCTTAAAGGTTAATAATAATTATTATTATTTATCAGATTTATAATTCCAAATAATAATTGCGCAAAATGATATTTTATAACTAAATTAAGTGAGTACCCATAGCCATGTAAGCACAGGTTTAATCAAATACATTAATTCTTTAGACACACAGGGATTGGATTTTAGTTATAGTTTATGAAGAAAAAAATATAGCATTCATATACATTATCAATTATATGCAGGCCACATATAGTTGATAATTTACTTGAAATATGTTGATAAATATATGCACATAATTCTAATATCAAAAAGATTAACTATATTAGTACTAATATAAGGCTTCTATGCTAGTTTGATGATGCATACGAAAGTTTAAGTAGTCTTCAAAATATCAAAAAATCAAAACAAGAAGAATCACTCACTAAGAATAAAATCGAGATGAACTTGCATGTCTTGAAAATCAATCTTAAAAATAGCAAAGCTCTGTATACCCCACTTCTGTAAATATTTAAAGAAAAAAAGTGCTTTAGACTTATCATGATGCATTCCACTTGCTAGTCAAGTGATTTGTGCAAATTCAGAAATGGTAAGAACTTTGGAAATAGAAGCATATAACTTTTTTATGGTGAGTAATTTAGCAGATAGTATTTTGTATTACCATAGTCCATTTAGTCTATTTTTAGCAAAAAGTATTTATTATATTAATATTGTGATCCTATAGGATTTGGCAGAGCATATAAAAATAACTTATTCAGATCTTGTCAAAGATAATTGTAATTTCTTCATTTTAAATTTCATAGATAATATTACTGATATTCTAAATAATAGACTTCTACATGATAAAAGTTAGAAAGAATCTAAAGAATCTAATGAAAAACTAGGAAAATTTATATTAGATATATTTGATATCTTATGAGTATTTCAGTAATGAACCTTAGCATAATATAATAATCATATTTGCTATTTCTTTTGATGAAAAATTGTGTTTAACATTATTTTTTATAGGAGAGATATTTGGAAAAATCCTGCCTTTGACCAAAAGTTAATTAAGTTACAAAGTATGATAGTTTCAATGATTCAAACATCATTAAAAGATCTTCCAATTGGAAAATCTGGTTATATTTCTACAGCTAAGTGTCAAAATATAGCCAGCAAAGATCGAAAAGGAATTGGAAAGCAATCAGATATTATATTCATCGCTAGTTGTAATGAAAAAATATATGAATTAATTTATTGTGAAAGTTCATGTATCATTTATGATAAATAAAAAAAGGAAAATGATAAGGTAAAAACTTGGAGAGAGATAAACGATGAAATGTATCCCTATAAATAATATGTATAAGAAAAGTATACAAAAATAATACATTTTAAAATGTATAATAAACGTAGAAAAACAGTATAATAAATTCGTAAATATTTCCATATACTAGATACTGAAAATCATCTTTTTCCGTATGCAAAAAAATACTGAATTTATATGTCTAATCAGTATAATATATACGTAATTTTTGTTAAATTTTATACGTCAAATCAGTATATTATATACGTTATTTTTGATTAGTATTTTCGTATATTAGATACTGAAAATCAACCTTTTCTGTATATAAAAAAATACAAAATTTATGTTTAATCATTATGTTTATTGTATACGTTAAATTTGTTTGAATTTTTTACGTCTAACCAGTATATTGTATATATTATTTTTGATTGCATTTTTTACATCTAATCAGTATATTGTATACGTTATTTTTGGTTGGATTTTTTACGTCTAATCAGTATATTATATATGTTATTTTTGGTTGGATTTTTTACATCTAATCAGTATATTGTATATATTATTTTTGATTGCATTTTTTACGTCTAATCAGTATATTTTATACATTATTTTTGGTTGGATTTTTTTTAATCAGTATATTGTATATGTTATTTTTGGTTGGATTTTAACATATAAACATTAAATTATATACATAATTTTGATTGCAAATTTTATACGTTTAATCATTAAATAAATATAATTTTTGAAATTAAAAAAATTTTATTAAAAAAAATAATATAAAATAAAAAATGAAATTTCATTTATTCTATATAAATTAATTGATTATAATATTAAACTAGGGAACGGGATCTGTTCAAAGTCTAAAGCATGGTATATAAATTATAATATCATATTTCACATGATTAATTATTTTATAACACAAAAATATAACATGTAATAACGTAAACAAAATGTCATTAGTCTATCAGGCTTACCGAATTTGGACAGACAGAATGACCTTGCATTTAAATAACCTAGAAGTAAAATGTCCTTCGCTATGCTTCGAACAATAAGAGTTTTATGACAACCTTTTTTGCAGCAACATTAGTGGTAGTAATTGAGGTAGAGGTAGCAGCAACTTTGGAGGCAATAACTTTTGGGGTAGCGGTAACTATATTAGTGATAACTTTAGAAGTAACAGCAATATTGGTAGTGGTAATGGTATCAGTAACAACATTGGTGGTGGCAGTGTTGTCATGGGACATAGTTAGGACACTGATGGGACACTGATGGGACATTGATGGGACAGATGGAACATTTG